CTCCGGCTGGAAATACACGGCGTCTTTTTGAGATTCTTTCTGTTATTTGACTCGGTAACCTCTGCTTTAACCACTTATAATGTAGGTTTCTTTAAGCCAACTTCCAATGATCTTAGCAACTCTAGCTAATGAAGTGCGAAATTTGTCCAACATGCATCTTGCGCAGCAAAAGTTTGCTTTAAAAGAAGACAAGCTAAAGCTAAAATTTCATGATTACAACTTGATGACGAAGAGAGACTTAGGATTCGACCATGAAGACATTTGTGGAAAACTTGAGATAATACCTGGATTTCATTTTTACATCACATCAATCAAATTTTCTCTTCAGTGTTAAAGTTGAGTTAATGTTGTTACTGGCTATATTAGATGGGTTGAAAAGTTTTTGATAGTATTTTCTCATGTCTGCAAAGCGTTGAATGAACTGAAAGGTAGAGTTATTGCAACATGTTAACATGAAGCACAACAATAAATTTTATTGGTATGTAAAAAGTTTTCATTTGACTATTCACTGGTAAGTCGCTGTATTATATTTCAACTCAGCCATTTTCCAAAATTTGTAAACACCATTACAAAATATTTAGTCAGGAAAAACATACACCATGTTTTAAATGTCATGTCCATAGTTAGTGGACAGGATTGAGGAGGGTGTATGTGGGAATTGGCTATCTTGTCTGTACTGTAAATTTGCTAATCGCTCCTGTTGCCAATGTTTTGATGTTAAGGTAAAGGAACTGAGGATTTTAGTAGGCAGTGACTTTCTTCAAACCGGGAAACTATCATCGTGAAAGCCATACTTGTGTCTGGTAACTCATTCTTATTCTGATAAATTAGTTTTAAGAAAGATACGATATTTTATTACAAATAGTTAAAGCATAGGCTATGCACAAATATTTAAATTAACTATACTTTTCTAGCCAATACCAATCCCTAGGCATGATGAGATGTCAGAAGGATCAGTGGAAAAATGTAAGAATATTCTTAAAGAAATCTAAGAATATTCAAAAGAATGAAAAATTTGTTTAAAAATTAGAATTCAGCATAGGCCAAATAAACATGATTCTTATGAAAAGAGATGTGTACTAATGAAAAAAGCTCAGCAACCTTTTTGACCGGTTTTATATGTTTAAAACACACACACACACACACACAAGCAGATTTCTTATAAACCTGTAGTTCAAGCCTGTCATGACTTAAAAATTTTGATGCACACCTCAAAAGGAGAAGAAATAAATTTCAAGTTTCTATTTATTCAGTTTAGGTTTTTCAGGTAAAATTGAGTAAAATAAAGAAATGTGACAACTAATTTATTAGGTTAGCCTACCTAGAACAATCAACTTCGTGTACAAATAAGACTAAACATGTACTGATGATGCACAAAAGAACTATCTGTGGTAAGAGGGCAGGCTTTCCTCTCTTCATTAAAAAAAAATACTGAGGTTATCATCTTTCCACAAGCTCAGTGGAAAGTGAGAGCGAGAGAGACTGATAGCGACTATGGTATTTGAGTAAATATCCGGAGAAGGATAGAAGTTAAGATATGGTCTGCGCAACTTTCTTATTTTAATTTAATTATAACCTATTAAACTAATTCATTTATATTCTTTATTTATGCATTATGCAGATACCAATTGATTTAAGTTTCATGCAGGTCAAAGTAAAAATATGAATTAAAATGGCAGAGCCCACTTTAATTTCTGTCCTAATTAAAGGGGGATCTTTGCTATTCCAGTTTCCCACCCTTTAAAACTCGCATATCTTGTGACCAATTCCTTACATCAATGTTTAGTTTAGGTGTGAGTATTGGTAAGAAACACCATGCATTAATGAATGAGCAAGAGTATTTAATGCAATTCAAATAATATTACATGTTACAATTTGGCAACTTACACAGAAAAATTATATAATCACACAATTCCAAACAAAGAAAGTCAGGTAATTGACTAACCTGCTTCAACTTTTGAGGGCTTGAGGTAGAAAGAAATAAATATGGTAAACAGTTACAATTAATATAAAGTTGAAAGTTTAAAAGCTAAGAGATATACATTACAATCATTAAATCCTAAGCATGTTATCAAAAAAGGATCAGTTACCACTATAACGTCTCCCAAACATTCATACTTAAAGGAAATCATTAGTTTTTGTCAATAGGTGGTACTGTACTTACAATAGTTCCACTGACACAAATGCATTTTTCAAAAGTTATCTCATAGCTAATGACTGTACAGGTCATGTGGATGGTTCCTGGTTGGGGACTGACATTTCAATTACCTCAGCAAACTGTAATCATCAGAATTGCAAGCCAAGGTGTATTTACCAAGTGCTCAAGTTTCAAAAGTAGTTACCTAACTGTTACAGTCGAGTTCACTCCTTTTTGAGGCCATCTTCAGCTTGATCATCCTGTTACATGTGAAAACATCAAATGTTACTCACATATAGTGCCCATTTTATATCTATGTTTTAAATTATTTTTCCCTATTTTTTTATATTTTTCCCTTTTTTTCCAGACTATTTTGAAGTAATTTTGTAACTATTCTAAACCTATTATTTTGAAAAAAAATAGTAAAACAATAGTCTGGTTGGCAATTCATAACTACTGTAGAGATAGCTTTAAAATAGCTTTAAATTAGAGAAAATCTGTATGCGATTTGATGATAAAATAGGATTAAAATAGCATTAATGAAACATTACTTATAAAAGAAAATAGACATAAAGCAGGGATAAAATAGAGAACATTACACAAAAATAGGAAAAAATAGAATATGAATACATTTAAAATAGGTTTAAAACATACATAAAATAGGAATAAAGGAGGGAAAAATAGGAATCAAATACCACTAAAATAGGTCTAAGAGACATAAAATAGACATAAAACAGGGATAATATAGGAAAACAAGTTGAAAAAAATAGGATATAAATACACTTAAAATAGGTTTAAAATAGAGTCTCAGGTATATGCAATTCCTTGGAAAAAATGTAATTCCTAGGAATAAGAGGCGAGATTTTCATGGTAAATTCGAAATAAAAATTCCTAGGAATTCCCAACTGTAATAACACTGGTTCTAAAAACCTTGAAATTCCCAGAAATTCCTAGTTAATAGCCAACAGGACTTTGAATTCCTAGGAGTTCCAAGTCAGAGCACCAATGACTTTCCCTAAAAGGCTGTAAATCTAAAAAACTTACCAGAGATTCCTGGGAATTTTCAGGAATTTATAGAAACATTGAGGAAACTAACATGAAATAAATACTAAAAATTTATATGTCCTAACTAAAACTTCAAGTATATAAGTATGACGTGTAAAATATTTGTAATTATATATTCACATCAACAAGTAGTAATATTAGGATGGAATTTGATTTCTTTTTCTTTTCTTGAAAACTTCATAGGAATTCTCCTCAATTAAAATCTTGTTGTAACTGTATCATTCAATTAGAATGAAGTTATCCTAAACTGCAGACTTAGCTGGTGTTTGTTTTTTTTTCCTGGACTTGCAGCTTTCTTTGTTGGCCTTAAATGAGGTTGTTTACAAGAAGCCATTCCAATCTGTATCTGGATTCCATGGCGTAAAATAAATAAATGAGCTCAGACATGGCCTTAGATAGCTATAAGGAAAAGGGCATTCATTGGAATCCTAATTTGAAAAAGTGCACTGGGATTGGGAAATCTCTGTTATGTTGAATAACTTTTATATTGGAGTTAGTACACCTCTTCCATAGATTTTGGTTAAAAAAGGGCTAAATACGTTATTTTTTTTTTATTAAGGAGGGCTTCTTTATGTAGTCAGGTTTGGTTAATCACAGTTTGTATTATAAATCTAGAATGTTCCAAAACGTGACTAAAGACATCTTAAAACCTTATTGATAGATTTATTTCATTGTAAAGTGTAAACTTAAGAAACTGCGGCATGCAAGTGACCGTTTCGATTCTCAGAATTATTCGAGTTTCAGTTGCGCGGAGCGTTATGTAAGCTTAATTCAAGCCGTTATATCTATTCTTTGGTAAGATTTTGATCACGTAACGAATATCACAATTTTTACTCACCACAAACTTTCAAAATCGTATCCTTATAAATGGCCACTCGACCCTTGTTTGTACCTGTCGATATGTCAACTGTTGTCACTTCTTTTAACACCACGGCGCCAACGACTTTCTCTTCACTTACAACACTCAGGCTGTTCTCGTTGTCCCATTGAACCGCAATAAAACCCATCTTTAGAAATGTTATGTTAAGCACAACAGTTGAGTAAAGAAATAACATGATGCACGAGCGATCAACCGTTGAAAATTGCATTCAAAGATGAGCGCGAAATGGAGTCTTCTTTGTTTCCGATTACGGACATGATCACGTGGATCTTTTGGAAATTATCATTGGCTAACAAAGATAATCCACTGGCTTGCCCGATTGCAGTTTCAACAAGTACATACTGACAAGTACATACTGACTTCTCTGACCTCTCGTCTACTTTTGGACGATGAGTACCTTGGATCCATGTTGTGACGATAATATAAATAATGTGAGCTCACTCTAGGTAGAAATAATCGACAAGAATCAATCGATTTGTGGCCGAAAGTTGTCGAGGAAACAAAGACTTAAAACCCTTTGAGCAAGCTTGGTTGCTGTGCTGATCGATTTGTAGATCAGTTTCAGTTAAACATGACCCAAGCGACGATACGGGAAATAAAAAGTGGAAATTCGATGTTAAAGGTAAGCCTTCGCGTTCAACTCTTTACCAAAAAAAGAAACTTAATTAAACGGAAACTTTAATGCTACCACAACGCCGATGAAAAACGTCGGCCTGACGTTTTCAATTTTGAACCCGTCTTTATCTTAACACAGAAACTGTGACTTTTGAATTTCAGTGTATGTATACTTAGTGAAGATATGATTCATACAAGTACCAAACAGCTGCCTTAAAATCATATTTTGTAATATAGAACAACAATACAATGTTAGTCAAGCTTGAATTCACGAATGAAATAGGAATAAAACCACACCACACGTCTAGTTGCTGTTTTAAATATTGTGGGTCTGGGATACTTTGGAGAAAACAGAATTAAAATAAACTATTTAATAAATATTTATTTTAAAATAAATATTATATTAAATAGATATTATAAAATAGGATTGTGATAGCCTATTTTTTTCTTATTTTCCAAAGGAATTGGCCATAACATGACCTATCAGCAGAAAATATATATAAAACAGCCTATTTTATCACTATTTTACTGATGTAGGGAATAAAAATAGGATGAAAATAGTCGGTTTTTCTGGTTATTTTTCCACTTGTTGAGAGAAAATAGAAATAAAATACACCCCTTTGTTCAATCTTGCTTTAAAATAGGTTTAAAATAAAAGTAAAACACAATTAAGATAGTGACTCTATTTTCCCTACCAGGTAAAATGGGAATAAAATACAAGTCTGAGGGAATAAAATAGTATAAAAATAGATGTGATAGGATTAATTAGGATTGTTTTTGCAAGGGTAGTATTTGAGAGAGAGAAAGAAAGTTCTTAAAACATTCTATGTTAAATGAAACTTTGTCATGAATGTTAGTTGCGGCACCAATGAAAATATTTGTGAAGCTGCAATAACAATTACCTTTCCATGTACAAACCATAATGAAGCATGATGTGGATAAATTTCATTTCACCCAGTTTGAATGTAGAATCTGAAATCTAATAAACTTACTTATGAGTAGGAAAAAGCTCAATGTGTTTTTCCTTCTTCTGTCATTCTAGGGAATTCCTAGGGAATTCTTATGAGTAGGAAAAAGCTCAATGTGTTTTTCCTCCTTCTGTCATTCTAGGGAATTCTTAGGAATTCTCGAAAATTCCCAATTATGCAAATAACCTTTGCCAACCGAATTCTCAGTTTTCTGGGAACTCCTAGGAATTCCTTGGAATTCCCAAAAATTCCCAACTATGCAAATAAGCTCTGATTTGAAAAGCTTGGAATTACTGGGAATTTCTGGGAATGGAAGACTCCAGTTTTGTGAGGACTTTGAATTCCTAGGAATTCCTAGAAATTCTCAGCTATACAAATTAATTCCAAGAAATTCTCAATACTTTGGCTGTGAAGGTTTTAAGAAAAGGAGTAATTTTAAGAGGCTTAAAACTTTGGCACAATAAAAAATTTATATACAAAATTTACCAAGAGATATACGTACATGTATATGTTTATAACTTAAAGATCACGAGAGTTATTATTCAAAATAAGTTTAAGTAAATCTCTACTTTAATATGGATTTTCTCATGAAGCAGCAGTCAATTATGTTAAATCCAAATTTCCAATTAATCCAATGTAATCATATCACAGATTTGCTATCTAATCTCTTAGATTCCATGGTCATAAAAGTTTTTGCTGTGATGCAAAATGTCTCATGTTCACAGATGTGCCAAAATCATCAAACATTCATTAGTGCACAACTTCCACATGTGTAACAATAATTACATTGTTATCCACACTTAAATAACTTAGTTAGTTATAAACATAAATGAAATTCCCTACTCTACATTACTGGTTGCCTTTGTTAGAAAACCTTGGAATAGTCAAGCTCAGTTCCCTCAAACACGGTCAGAGACTTTCTATTCACATTATTTTCAGTAGAAAGTTCATGCCATAGACAAACAAATTCAACACCTAATTAATCTTTCTTTTTCATGATTGTTGTTGCTGTTTTTTTTCAGTGTTTTCCTCTGCTTTTGTGACTGATTACTGTAATTTGTTTTGCCGTTTTTATTCTTACATAACATTTTTGTAAGAGTTCCAATACTTGTGGATCATCTGCACAATTGGCAAATGTTTGGCATGCAGACAAGACAGAGGTAGTCACTGCTCCCTTTGAGAAAAAACACCTTTTAAATTACTTCTTCAATTTGCTTTATTTGAAAATCTGATTTGAAAATATATTTAAAACAAGACTTGTTAGTAGTGAGAGGTACAAACCGATTTTCCTTTCATAATTTAATTTCTTAAATGTCCCAATCACTGAATCTCCCAAAAAAATTACTTCTTTTTATTTTTGGTACGAAATACAAGTCCTTCTTTATATACAAATGAAAAGTGCAAAGCACACTTCAACAGTAACACCTCTAAAGTTTACTTGTTGTTCTTCTCTACCTGTCAGCTATCAACAAAACTGTTTTATACTTCGGACAGTGCATAACCACTTGTGGACCAGAGTTCCAACGCACCTCTGTGATCGCATATAGTTGCTTCTTTCTCTTGTACAAATGTTTCTCCTTTATGAGACGCGCTCTCCTCTGTTGGCACCACTGCTTTAAGTTCAGTGGAAACGTTAGACTGAGGAATCGAGATGGCGGTTTTGGAAGGTGTTGCTAAACGCTTGTTACGGTCAAGCTTTGTTGATTTAGGTACTGATACACTGTGATCATCTATGTATCTCTTATACTTCCTGATATGGTATCCTTCTTTCATAAAAATGAGGGTACAGGACGATTTGTAATCGCATTCAAAATTGTGATTGGGTTATGTTATTTCTCACCTTTGCCATAAACACAACTCAAGCGGGTTTTGAGTCTTTGTTTCTTCGACAACTTTCGGCCAGAAATCGTGCATTTTAGTACGATCGATTCTTTTCGATTATTTCTAGCTAGAGTGAGCTCAAATCATTATTTATATCACCGTCAGAACATGGATCCAATGCATCCATCGTCCTGAAGCAGAGAACCGGTCGGAGAAATAACCTTGTGCGCTTCTCTTGCAAGCCAGTGGATTCAGTTTACTAGCCAATGACAAGTCCTAAAAGATCCACGTGATCATGCCCGTGATCAGAAACAAAGAAGATTCCATTGGCACTCATCTTTGAATGTACTTTTCATCGGTTGATCGCACGTGTGTTAAGCTATTTCTTTTCTCGACTGTTTTGCCTAATATAACATTCTAAAGAAAGGTTTTAATGTGGTTCAAGTCTGTCATTTAGGATTACTTCATTCTAATTTATTTTTACAATTACAACAAGATTTTAATTAAAAAATCAATTATATCTTACTGTAATTAACCCCTTCATTTCCAAAAGTGCTAGGTCAAAATTTAAGAAGAAATCTTTGAATTTCAATGTGCAGAATCAACAAAAACAAAGAGTAAAACATGAAAGTGCTGCTTGACAGCTTACATTTGATGTTCACAAACAAGAGTTTTATCCAAATGAGTTACAACCACATAAAATCAAGTCAAAGCCTATCTCTGGGAGTGAAAGGGTTAAATACCTTTTGTATGATCATCCAAATTTAAATGATTCATTTTAAGACTATTTTTAGACCGATAGTATTAATTGCAATAAGTATAATTTAAGATATTGTATTTTACGGAAAAGAATCAGCAGATTTTGTTCACAATTTGTGTCTAACCAAACTTAATGATTGATTAGGACTATTTTACTTGAATAGCTGTAATTGAGGATTAATTCCTTTGAAGTTTTCAAGAAAAGAAAAATAAATCAAATTCCATCCTAATATTACTACATGTTAATTTTAATATACAATCAAAAATATTGAAGCTTTTTTTGCAGATGAACAGGGAGGTCGAGGAAGTGATCCCTACGAAGTGATAACTTACGTGTTTTTATCACTCCTGATCCTTGCAGGAGGGTATATATTTCATTTAAGGAGACGTGATAAACGCCGGAACCAAGGAAGTGCTACGTTTGAAGTATGAATTTCACGAGCCAAGCGATAATGTAATTTTTGTAAAAAAAAAAAAAAGTTTAAAGAACCAAAACCCAAAAAAATAAAAAGTTAAAAAAGAACGCATAGAAAATGTGAAATGTTTTGCGAGTTTTGTCCATTGTGCACATTAACAAAAGACAAAGCCAAGAATATTAATTGAATGCCTGTAAATATCGCAAAAATTAAAACAACTTCTAACGTTTGTATAGAAGGAAAGGGTTGATAAATTAAAATCAGGAATTTACACTCTCATTGTAAACAGACAAAGAAACTGGAAAAAGGAATCCAAATCCGCATATTTCTACAGCTAACTGAATCATCATTTAAAGTGATGAATCGTAAATGATGTACTGTGGTAAATTTTTAAAAAGAGTCCGTATATTGTAAACAGAATATGTCGTTCTAAATAATGATTTGTCAAAATAATTAAATTAAATTGAAGAGACTGTCAGTTTTCTACCTCTAGATTTTTAAGCTTCTAATTTTAAATTAAATTTATTGACAAACAAATCAGTAGAACTTAAAAGAGGTTAAATGTCCCTCTGTATGGTTTCTGTTCACGACGTCTTTCTTTTCTTTACTGTGCTCAGATATGTCCCAGAATTCCAAAGTTGTAACATTTCTCTGCAAGGAAATGAATATTCTTATTAGAACAACGGCAGTGAAATACCACGTGACCTTTCGCGCGAAAACTTGCAAATAGCACGGTCTCTGCGGTTGAATAACAGTTGTGCCTTTTGCAGTTAAAGTAGAATGGATTGCCCTTTCCTCAAGAGAGAGTCACTCGTATCTCCATGCGGCCATCTAACATCCTCTTTTCATTATACGCATAATAGTGAATTAGTAGAAGAGCTCCCTCACAAACATGTGACATGCGTATCGTTATTTTTACATGTGAATACCGCACGGACACTATTGTTACAAAATAAATCGCATGCAAATGAAATGGTTCGGTTTTTCCTTTATGTTTATATGACAAAACAGTATTACATGGCCGTTTGGAGGAGCAAAATCTAGAAAAAAATAAACAATAATTTTCTCATTCAGTCCATTTTTTGGACCAGTGTTTGGACCTTTTTACGGACCAATTTTTGGACCATTTTATCGGGGTGAGGCAGATCAGTAGTATTAACGGAGGAGTTGGATGCAGTCTATCGGTGCTCAGGAAGGGGTGGGAGGCAGACTGTTGTTACAGTTTCGCATTCGCATGACAAAAATATAAAGAAACGCTAAGGCCCGGCGCAAAAAAATGACATGAAAATAGGCAGTCAAAAAAAACGGCTAACAATAATGTTATGATTCAGTGAAAATTCCTATTATCAGCAGCATTTACTGTTACAACAACCTTTCACCCCTCCCTGCGTACTTGTAGTTCGTCCTCGACCCCTTCCTCAGTAACAACAATCTGCCTCCCACTCCTTCCTGAGTACTGAGTACTGATAGACTCCATCCCACCCCTCCCTGAGTATTAATAATCTGCCTCCTTCCGATAAAATGGTCCAAAAAATGGTCCAAAAATCGTCCATATTTTATCACTATATCACTGCATGTTTTCATAGAGGTCTATTGACAATGAAAACATAAGACAGGCTTGTGAACGTTTGCAGTTTTACCCACATCTGATCCTGTGACATTAGGACTCCATCCATGAAGAGCATATGCATTTTTTTTTCCGGCGCAAAGCTCTTAAAACAGCTAGATCAGTTGGGGGTAAACTCCACCAGCCTGTTTCTCTAGTTCTCTTACGACAGACAAGACACAAGTAAGCGCTCTCTAAAAGGGAAATTTGGTTTCAACTTTCAACCGTACAGCTATGGGTCACTCCAGTTTATTTCTCTCTGTGATTTTTATTACTCTAGTGGCGTTCAGCTCAGGTAAGCAGCAATACATTAGTAATGACTCGATTGATGTTATTTTCATAGAGCACTCCTACGGCCGCAAGCGAAACAAATGCCTTACATGCACTTTTCTAATGGGTCGCTGAGGACCGAGAGAAACTTGCTGTAAATTGATGCCTTTATGCGAGAACTCTTAAGAAAAGAGGTGCTGTCCGAAATTCGATGATTCGTTCTTTTATCAAAGAAGAAAAAAGGAGAATTCATTACTGAACAAATATTATAACTTACGCGTTTCGGGATATCGAGGCCAGTGTTAAAATGTTGAAGTTTTACTTTGGAGAAAAAGCGGAAATGTAACTGAAGGAGCTTTACGAGTCCACAAATTTCCCTTCATTGATGAGAAATTGCAAGCGTCGGAAAAAAAGATGGTAGCAAGATGTTACTTTCAGTTTTGGGGTCATTGCAAGTATTGAATCGCATAACAACGCAGATAATAAACTTGAATGTTGTCTTCACAGTGTCTTCAAAGTGTTTTCTGTTCTTTCAATGCGACTAGAAAGCGACGTGGATCACTTGTTCTTCATATCAAACAATTCAAGAACGAAGCATAAGACAGTTAAAGCAATCTCCAAACATCATTACAAGGCTGTGCTCTAGCGGCGCCCGGTCGCCTCAGGCGAATAACATTTGGTCTCGGGCGACTGAAAAAGAAAAGCGGTCGCCCGTCCGGGCGCATAGATTTCGGCTTGTGTGAAAACTCGAAACGAAACCAGCAAACGTATAGAAACGGAACGGAACGGAACGAAACAAAAAGAAACTCCATCGTGCTCCCCGGCTCCCGCTAGCCCGAAAAGCAGTTTCAACAGTGGAGCGCGTGATTAATAAAACGAAACCGTCCTTGATGCAAATTTGTGTTTATTTAATTAGCTTCGTCCGTGGCATGCAAGATGTTTATCAGCACCATATTTGGCGACTTGCTCTCAATTTATGCAAAAAAGCTGTAACAATGAAGCAGATCAAAATCATTCGATCAAAATTTGACGCAAATGAAACTTTAATATAAGAACCCTTTTGTTTCGAAACCTATTTTAGTGATCTTCAAAGAAATTTTCTTAGCGGTTTTAACATGTATGTGGTTAATTTATAACAGAATTTCATGATATCACAAGTTCGCCAAAATAGAGTACGTGACTGCTAAATATAGTAACTCGCTTCGCCGCCCGTGCCCGGTGAAGTGAATATTGAACGAGAGAGATTAAAGATGAAACTTTTTGGCAATTCTGCGGATTCCCTGGAACTGTAAGAAGTATACAACGCTACTCTTTCAAAACGTCACAGATTAGTAAAGATTGTCATTCAGCAATGGTTTCCTTGGCCGGAAGTCGCACAAACTTGCAATCAAGTTTTAATTAAACATCTTATCAATGGTTTCGTCTACTTTCTGAAAATTTTTAACTTTCTTGCAAATAGTAAGTTGCAATGACGAAGGCTTCCCGATTCACTGTAACTTTCTCTAATGAGAGCTAGATAAACTTTGAAGTCCATCCATGAATCAAAATCTTTGAATAAGAATTTTTTTATTGTTAATTATTAACTGATTCAACTATAAAATGGATTATTAATTAATTAATTAATCAATTAATTATTAATTAATTAATCAATTAATTATTAATTAATTAATCAATTAATTATTAATTAATTAATTAATTCGGGCGACCAACCTGGAAGGCTGGGCGACCTACTTGTCATGGTTAGGCGCCCGAAGGGCGCCCTGACAATTTTCCTAGAGCACAGCCTTGCATTATCATTTTATTCATCTTTATCAAGATCATAATGATCATAATTACTGCCATTATGATTGTATTAACAGTCACAACATTTTCTTTTCAATCATCCAAAAATATCAGCGTTTTGTAATCCTTTTGTATATTCTGTCTATATATCATAAATAGCACATACAGTCTCCAAATTAATTCTTGCTACAAACATTTTGAAAACCTTGAGGATTCATTCTCCAGTTTTGTTTGCGTGGAGCTTTTTGGTGTGGCACCTGTGATGCACTTAGATCTTTTCCTTTCAGAACTTGACGATCATCAGTGTCTGAGACTACATCACTTTCTTTCTCAGAATTCAGTTCCGAGCTATTTTCTGAGGTTTCTGTTCCTAGCAATAAAGATAATTATAACAGTTAATGGGTATGTTGCCATTAATTTTTGTTTTCAGTGACATTTATTCTTTCCTTGTTTAAAACTCATTATCATACATCACATACCTAAAAACAACGGAAAAATAAAATTTAATCGAAACAAAAAAATTAACTCCAACATGTACATGCACCACACAGTTTGAAAACCTCTGGTTAACTCTCCTTCCCGTCTTCATTAATTTTTTTTCAACTGGCAGGTTATCTAATAAAGATACATGGAATATATTCAGTTGGTGTATTATTTGAAAAATAACAGAGATTAATTCAGAAGTACTTGTTCTGATTGTTAGTATAGGTAATCAAATGATTTCGAGTGCAACTTGGAATAAATAAGCACGAGTAATATTTTAAAGACTAACAAAATTGCACGAGCCCGAAGGGCTCATGCAATTTGCGCTCTTTGAAGAAATTAACAAGTGCTTGTTTACTCCAAATTGCACGAGAAAAATCATGTGATTACGTGTTAATAATATAAATGGAAGAATACGAGATGGCTTATCATAATTAGGCATAAGCAAAGCGCGCGCATCAAGTGCAAAAATAATTTATTCAAACCCTACATTCGGTCAAAACAACCTTGTACGATCAGAACGTTTATATGCAATGACATCTTCACATCATTAAGGCGCAAAATAGTTCAAAGTCCAGCTAAACAGTACAAGGAATTGTTCAGGCCGTGTCCGAACCACTTTCGATGAAATGAAATCGTCGTTTCCGAGGTTTAACTATGTTTGTTTTTAATTTAGGCGTTGGATCGCTCGAGCAAAGTGTTAAACTGGGCCGGCTCGTAATTTTCGATTTCCTTGGCAATTCCCTTCTCTAAACACCACTTTTTCCAAACCGAAAACCAAAAAGCAGAGCTTTTTACAATGTTTTCGTTGTTTGTGCTGAAGAAAACCTACTTAAAACGCTCACAAATTTTCAAGTTTGTTACAACATCCAAGGCTCGCATTTGATTGGCCATCTGTGAGTTTCTTTAATTACTGACCAATGAGAATGTCTGATTTGTTACTTTCTTTGCACTGAATTAACCCTTTTCTGCACTGAATTAACTCTCTTCTGCACTGAATTACCTGAAACTGAATTTATCCTAACCAATCAGAACTGAGTAATTTTCCATGTGCATTATTAATCTAAAAACACAACAGCAACAACAACACTGCTGTGATCACTAGAGCTGCTATGGGTCAATAGTTGGGTCATCTTTAAGAACCCTGTCCATTTTCCATGAACTTCCAGGGCTTCTTGGGTCTCGAATTTCCGCTCTTCTTAGCACTATCCTTCACATCTTTGTATTTTGCTCGTAGTTTTTTCAATTTGTCCGTAATTTTCCAGATAGTTTTCATTATTACTTTGTAAAATTGCTAGAAAAACCAATAACATTAGAGCGAATGAAAGTGACTTGATAGAAACTGTCAGAACTGTCAAATGTCGTCAAATGTCTTTGTTAATCGGCCTAATTTTTTAAGAGGTTGCAACGAAAAATCAGTCCATATAAGACCTTGTTTCTATAAATTACAATGTATATATATATATATATACGGTATCTAAATTTATCAATGAACGTATGTACAACGTATCAACCTTTCCGCAGAGGTTTAAAGAAGATTTCAATTTCACGAAGAAATCGGAATAGTTTTATAATGTATAACCAGCCGGATAGTAACGTACAATAATGCTCCACCAAAGCTGAAAATAAACGCTCAAAATGCAAACAGTTGTACAATTCCTGTGCAGTAATACGAATCATTCATTGAATCCAGCTTTCATATTGCTCAAGACATTAACTACTTCCGAGGAAAAGCGAAAATTGAACGCGATGGGTATTCAATTAGTTGAATTAGAAGCAGGGCCAGTCAGTAATAAATTCATACTGTAAGATTTTATACCAGTAACCAACGGCGTAATTTCATCCAGTCGATAATGTATAGCTAAAAGATTGTTGGCCATTAACTAACAGCGTAATTTCTTCCAGTCGATCCTACGTACATATTCTTCCTTAGTTTATATATAACTATATTAAGGGCTCACAAGGTGAGCGGTTGTATAAACTCGCATTTTGCTATGTTCCGTTGTTGTAAAGGACATGATAGAGAAATTCTCATGGCAACAACCAACCATAATCTTCATTCGACAATAACATATTTTGAGATGCAGACATGGATATCCAGAACATCTTTTTGTTTGTCGCTTATCTAGGTGAAACTTATAGCTCTGAAGGTCAGAAAGGCAAATGACCATAAGTGCTTCTTGAAATAATTCATAAGCATGCGGTTGACGTCGGATATAGGAGGCTGAGAGTAGCTATACTTAAACTTTGTTAAACTTCGGCGGTGTAAATGTTGGGAAAAAATATATATATCTCAGTGTGTATTTTCAAACAAACCTAAACTTACGATTAAACAATCATGTTTGTTAACAATCATCATGGTTTGCGTTCCTCGAAATTCCTTTAGAAGAATTTATACATTTCAGCGATATACGGCTGGTTATTTATTCGAGGTTTAACCCAGAACGTGATTTTATGCAACCAGAAGGCCAAATCTCAAAATCAGCAACAGACTTTAGGCACTCTCATATTATACTAGAACAAGGGCAAAGAGTATATAACTATTGTCTGCACTCCTACTGAGAGCAATTCAAGAGGAAAATGAAGAAGAATGTGGAAGATGAATACGATATGAGATGAACTGAGCTTATAAAAGGGGTCTAGCTCATTATCATTGAAAGCAACATTTGCTTGCTAATCAAACGACACAAATTCCATAGGCTATTTGCACCCAAAGAGAATTAACCCTTCATCAGTTTCTGAAGAGCGGTCATTTTTCTATCGCCTTGGGGGAATCGAAGGATGTTTTTGGGGGAATCACGTGGTTTAAGGGGGATCGTAGGGGGGGGGGGAGATCAGTCGTCTCTAACAGAGTGTTTGAAGGGCTACTATAGAAAATTGACCGGTGGGCGGGGATCAGGTAAGTTTTATTGTGATCATATATTACCAAATCCCCCCCCCTTCGCTCGCCCCCCCCCCCCCCGCACCGTTTCAAATGATCTCTCCTATAGAAATCTCTAAAGTGCCCAGTGAAATTGCAGTTGCTAACTTCCTTTTTTATCTCTACACTTCCTCGACAGGACCTGATGTCAATGATGCAAAGAACCAGATCGTTGTTGACAACGATACAAGGAATGTAGAAATTCCTTGCGTGATAAACACGGATGGTCTGTCCTGGTCGGACCTTGGCTTATATATGTGTCCGACGATGGTACAATGCAGAAGTGATAGGGACCGATTCAAATTAGCTCGAATCAAAAAAAATACGATATTCAATTACTATCCTGAGGATTTTAAAGTTAGCCTAAATGGATCATTGATTGTACGAAAGATGTCATCAAAGTATGACGGAATGGTTGTCTGGTGTATAGGACAAGTTCGGTACCATGGAGCGCGAGAAAACACCACACTTATTAAAATAGCCAAAGGTACGACTTTACCTGTTTTATTATAACGTGCACACAAAATTACGCGCTTCTTATTGGCTGAAAGTGAGTGCATTCTCAGGTAACATGAGTGTGAATTCTAATACGAACGCAAATTAAAAATAGTGCGCGCACGTTTTCAAAATTTCGTCTGTCTTGACCTTCTGCGATGTTTTATCATTTACATTATTAACAAGTAAAACCATGATTTCTCTTGCAATTTGGTATAATAGGCACTCGTAAATTTTTCAAAGACTACAATATGCACTTGCCCGACAGGCTCGTGCAGTTTCGTTGTCTTTGAAAAATTTACTCCTGCTTATTGACACCCAATTGCAAGAGGAATTATGTTGTTACCTTTACTAAAACTATCCATCATTTTAAAATAAAACTAAACGGATACTGTCTCAACCACGGTATGGGTGGATCCAGAAATATTTGGAAACGGGTGAGGAAAGGCAGGGAGGGGACGGAGTGGAGGCGAATTGATCATAAAACAGTTTTTATCGTGGAAAATTACTCTTCGACTACTAACTCCCTTTGTTCTCCCTTCATTCACTCGTGCACGAAAGAGAAAGATAAATAGAACAGATGAATTAAAGAAAAACCTCATTTTTAATTCATACTCATTTAGGCTTCCAAAACTTTTTTTTCCTTTCTCAGAGAGGCCAAAAATTAGAATAAAAAGTCCGCAACTGCTCTCGGTAATCGTAGGAACGATTCTGTACTTAGGCTGCAATGCAACTGGTTATCCTCCTCCCCGGGTAATCTGGTTTCGTGACAAGGAAGTTCTTAAAAACAGATCAATTGAAGAAAGCACAAGTTTGGTACTAAGAAATGTCACTAAAGACGACGGAGGAAAATACATTTGCAGGGCTACAAATCTTCTAGGAAGTGATAGTTATGAGGTGCAAGTAAATGTCACCGGTGAGTTTTAATTCTATAGACCTTGAAATGGCACAAAACCAATTTTTAATACAAGCAAGTGAGTTGAGTTTCCAACACTTTAATTCTTTAACTTACTTCAATAAAATTAACGGTCATCGAAAACCGAAAAACCTTCTTGAAAATTGACAAGACAAAAAAGGTAAAATAAATGAACATAAACTCAAAACGTCAACATAAATCATGAAAAATGGGTTTCTAGTTTTGTAAAATTGGCGAGTTTTATCATCTGCACTCATGGTAGAACCATATAGCTCCTCTTACGTAATCAGCCAAAGTGAGTCCGCTTCGCGGTCGTCCGATTTTGAAATCACCCGTACAACTACAGACTGTATTGCCTCCACTCGGTCCTATTATCATTTAATTTGACCTTCTTGTTTGGTGTACATTTGTTTTGCAGAGTTTAAAAATTCGACGTTGCCGACACAAATAGGTATTTACAAAGTTCTATTATTGATTTGTTTTCATTTCTGGGAAATATTTTTTGGTTCTGCATTTGTCTTCATCGTGGATGTGTCTGCTTTTCTTTATTGTTTTTGTTTTGTGATGTTTTGTTTTGTGTTGTGCTGTACTGTACAGTGTTGTATTTTGCTTTTCTGGACATTACTTTGTTTTTTCTTCTGTTTTGTTTTCTTTTGCTTTGCTTCCTTTGCTTCGCTTTGCTTTGCTTTTTGTTTTGTTTTGTTTTGCTTTGCTTTGCTTTGCTTTGCTTTGCTTTGCTTTGCTTTGCTTTGCTTTGTTTTGCTTTGTTTTGCTTTGCTTTGCTTTGCTTTGTTTTTTGTTTTGTTTTTTGTTTTGTTTGTTTTGTTTTGCTTTGCTATCCTTTACTTTGCTTTGCTTTGTTTTCTTTTGTGTTGCTTTTTTATTGTTTTTTTAATTTTTTGATATTCTGTTCTTAGCTGTGCTGTGCTTTGTTTTCTGTTTTGTTTTGTTTTGCTTTGTTGTGCTTTGGTTTGTTTTTGCTTTGTTTTTTTTTGTTTTTTTTGCTTTGCTTTGCTTTGTTCTGCTTTGCTTTTTGTTTTGCTTTGTTTTGTTTTGTTTTGTTTTGTTTTGTTTTTGCTTTGCTTTGCTTTTTTTGCCTTGTTTTCTTCGTCTCGTTTCGTTTCGTTTCGTTTCGTGTCGTGTCGTGCCGTGTCATGTCTTGTCAATTCGTTTCGTGTCGTTTCGTTTCGTTTCGTTTCGTTTTGTCGTTTCGTTTCGTTTCGTTTTGTTTTGTTTTGTTTTATCGTCTCGTCTAACGTGTTTCGTTTCGTTTCGTATCGTTTCGTTTTGTCGTGTCGTGTCGTGTCGTGTCGTTTCGTTTCGTGTCGTTTCGTGTCGTTTCGTGTCGTTTCGTGTCGTTTCGTGTCGTTTCGTGTCGTTTCGTGTCGTTTCGTGTCGTTTCGTGTCGTTTCGTGTCGTTTCGTGTCGTTTCGTGTCGTTTCGTGTCGTTTCGAAATGTATAATCTTAGTCGACTCTCCTTGGGTCCGTGGCGGAATAATTTTTAAATGCATAAGCGTTCCTGGAAATTTCAGAAAAGTTTTGGAGCAAAGAAAAACTATAAGCCCTTTCTAATTTTTGGACCAATTCAAGTCTCTACACAATTTACATTTTCTCGTTACCAAGGGGATGACTTATAATTATACTTGATATATTCAATTATTAATTGATAATTAATTATTATAGTTAATTATACTGAATAGATTTTGTGTTTTGTAGATAAGCAAGGAAGTCGAGGAAGTGATCCCTACAAAGTGGCAACTTTCGTGTTGTTAACACTCCTGATCCTTGCAATGGTGTTTATAGTTCATTTAAAGAGACAAAATAGACGCCTGAACCAAGGAAATGCTTTGCCCGAAGTATAAATTTCACGAGCCAAGTAACATTGCAGTTTTGGGAGAAAAAAATGAAAATTAAAAAAAAATTATCAAAAAAAAAACCAGAGGCAGAAAAAAAAATGAAAAGGTAAAAAAAATGCATAGAAAATGTGAAATGTCTTGCGAGTTCTTTTAGTTGTGATAGCTAAACTTCTTCATTCGTGCACATTAACAGAAAGCAAAGCCAAGAATATTAATTGAATGCCGGTAGATATCTAAAAAATGAAAACAAGCTCGAACGTTTGTAAAGATTCACTTCGGGGTATAAAAAGAAAGGGTTTGTAAAAAATATCTGGAATTTATACTGTCATTGTAAAAAGACAAAGAAACTGGAAAAAGGAAACAAATCCATGTATTGCTTCAACTAAAAGAAATATTTCTTCATTTTTGTTATCCAAGGCCACGTGTTATCATCGTTTTAAATAATGTCTCGTAAATGATGTACTGTGGGAAATGTGATAAAAAGTCTATGTATTGTAAGTAAGATATGTAGTTCTAAATAAAGATGAGTCAAAAAATGAAACTAAATAGGATGTCAGTTTTCCACCTCTTGATTGTTTTCAAGCTTCTAATTTCAAATTAAATTTACTGACAGACAAATCAGTAGAACTTAAAAAAGGTTAACGTCTTAAAACCCCAATAAGGGTGGACTGGAGAGAACAACGACACAATGTAATTAATATATTTTTAAGACATCAGATGTTTGCTGCGGCTGCTGCCTCCTGTAGGAGTCGAAACCTGGTAAACATGCTGGTAAACATGGAATTCCGATCTTGACCTAATTATGACCCGATGCTCCCCGGTGCTACTTATTGTTTGTTTCGGAGTGTCTTAGTCGTTCGACGTTCGCACTCGATACATATTGGAGTTTTCTCCTTTTGTGATTTCTGGGCTATAGCTACCAACACATAATGTTATCATTCTTGTCCTTGTTGTGGCTCTTGCCCCGCTTGATAAGGAAGTCCTTCAAAATTTACAAATAAATGTGTTTGCATCGTGAGTCATGTGCTAGCAATTTTTTTCAATCTGGGCCAATTAATTAATTCTTATACTGCTGTCATCTACAGCACTTCATCGCTAAACAAGTGAGCGGCTCGAATTAACGGCTCTGTGTTTTGACATTGTTCACATAAGAGCAATCCATCATCAGGACGTTTGGCGAATAAAGCGGCGGTGTAAGAATTAACATCATCCGCGGGTCGAATGAAGTTTTGGTACGTACATATAAAATAACAAAAATCGTCTCGAAATCTCCAAATTTATACCTTAATACTGGCCTTGCTCACTGTAGAGTCCTCAGTGGCAAAAACGCGCAGCGCGTAATCCAAAGATCTGTTGTTCGATCTCTTACGGGCACTCACTTTCGATAATTTTCTTTGTTTTTCACTGCTACTGATTGCCATTAGGCCTTGAGGAGGGCGATGAGTTTCATTGGCATTTTGACAGCTATCCGATGACGTATAGACTCATGTTGAGCGAAATATCAAGACAGGTTTACGAACGCATTTCGATGTTCTAACAATGGCAGAAACCACAAATTTCTAAGACTCTATTGTTTGCTGAAGTTGACAAGAAAGTTTTGGCTACAATGAAGTGAAGTTTCCTTTTACTTTTCCGCTGTACCGCTAGGTTCAAACATAGGAAGTCGTCTTTGCCTCTTAGAGAGAAAAGCTGGACATAAATGTAGTTCACCCTTCATTTTTGACCAATAATGGGCAGGTGATGAGACTATAATAACATTAAGCACGCGTTTCCAGATGGCCGGTTCTCAGAAAAATAATTTTAATTAAATTTGTCACGACGTCTCAACAATGCGGTTGAACTATTGACTACGCACAATAATTTGAAGATTCAATTATCTTTCTTCGATTAACAGATAATTTTCTAAAGGGTTCACTTTAGCTCAGTTGAGCTAGCATTCTTCCGGTTTTACAAACATGCGTTTCACAACAAACGTTTGCTAACAAGGACATTCCCATTGTATAATGCTGATTACGGATGTCGTGATAAATTTTGACTTGACTTGAGGCTATCGTGACCTCCATAAAACTGGCCGTTAGGCGCAAAAAACTGACAAATTCTTAACCTTAAGTTGTAAATAAAGTCAAACGCAATTTTTTTCTCTATCAACCTTTACGGGAAGAAAATAACCGTCAGCCGTAAAATGGCCAATGGTTTAAGAGCAAGAGAGAAAAAGGAAGTGATTACACTTGAAACAGAATAAATTAGGAATATTTTGCTTTTCTCCAGACTTCCTGGCTAATGATAATGTGTAACGCTGCAAAAATATATAGCAACATTCTGAAAGTGAAAGTTCAAGTGAAAAAAAATTGCACTTTTTGTCGTCACGTCATAAAAAGGATCGTGAGGCAGAAAGTCTCACGCAATATCAAACCACCACATTCATTCGAAAGAAACATCTTCTGAGTCGTAGACATGGATATTCAAAAATTTTGGCTATTCATCAAGTCAGTAAACAAATGGCTATAAGTTACACCTTTTGCTTTTAATTTGTTCAAACAGTTTCGTAATTCATAGACATATGGCACTCTAAAATTAGGGAGTGTATGGCCCTTTAATAATGGCTCGTGTTAAGAGCGATTCAATATTTGTAGAACAAAAAATCGTTGTGACGAACTGATTTTAAGGAGTAAATACAACAGCTGCTTGCTAATCAAATAACACAAATTCCAAAAGCGACTATTTATCCCCGATATGAATACCTGGTGAAATTGCTTTTGCTAACTTCCGTTTGATATGTCTACGGCCTCGACAGGATCAAAAAATACTGATCAGGCAACAGGATCATTGTTAAAATTGACGCAACAGACGTTCAAGTAACGTGCTCGATAAACACTGACGGGCTGCCCCTGAAAACTTTGCGTGGTTTGAGTGTCCAAATATGGAACAGATGAAACAGTGCAGAAAGGACCGGGACAAGTATAGAAAAGCTTGGATAAAAAAACCGAACAGTGATCAATCACTATCCTGAGGAGTATAAACTCAGTGTAAATAGAACACTGAGTGTACTGAAGATGTCACCAAAGTATGACGGAGCGGTATTCCTTTGCATAGGAGAAATTGAACACCATGAAGCGCTAGAGAACACCACAATTATTCAAATAATCAAAGGTAGGATTATGTTTCCTTTAAAACTCTATTCATCATTATGAAAATAAAGCAAATGTGGGCAGTGTCTCCACTCTGAAACAACCACAGCAGGGTGGATCCAGAAAATTAGTTAAAAGGGGCTGCGGCCTACTTTGATTCATATAATGGCTCATTACATGTATTCAACTTCTAGATTTGTTTTGTTTTGTTTTGTTTTGTTTTGATTTTTTTTGCAGTAAATTCTGCAAGATTGTAATAAATTACCACCTGGTTAGCATGCAGGTTTTCAGACAAGTTCCGCAGACTTTTAAACTGTGTTATACAAATCAAGTTATCATCAAACTCCCACAATTGTTTTTTTTCTTTCAGAGAAGCCCGTTATTAAGATAAAAAGTCAAAAACCGTCCTCGGTGATCGAGGGATCGACTCTGTACTTAAACTGCGTCGCAACGGGTTTTCCTCGTCCCCGGGTGACCTGGGTTCGAATTCGTGACGGGCAGGTGCTTCAAAATCGAACAAACGACGAGGCCACAAGTTTAGTGCGAAATGTCACCAAATGTGATGAAGGAGAATACCGTTGTACAGCCAAAAATCGTCTGGAAAGTGATAATTATATACTTCAAGTAATTGTCATCGGTGAGTTTTTATTATGTAGATCTGAGATGAAGGGTACTCTATATATATTTACACAGTTCGTGAGCGGGTGGTATTCTATAAATCCTGCAATTTGATTGGTTCCGAGAGCGGACATTGTCCTTATTATTCGTATTACTCTGTTGAGTCGCTTTGCAGAACATCTCTAGCTTCGTTGCATTTTTTTTTTTTTTATAAATATGAGTTATTTTGTCGGCTGAGCATATTTTTAAGCAAAGACTTAAGTAACGACCTTTAGCCTGTAAATGATTTATTAATTCTCTTTTCTCTCTCTATCAAAGCATTTATATTTTTACACAAAAATTTATTTCGAAATGAATGTGCTAATGGATCTGTCCCCCCTTCTCTCTCTTTCTCCTCTTTTTCCCCTTTTTCTTTCCCCTTTTTCTTTCCCCTTTTTCTTTCCCCTTTTTCTTTCCTCTTCTTTCTCCCTCTTCTTTCTCCCTCTTCTCTCTCCTCTCTCCTCTCTTCCTCTTCTCTCTTCCCCTTCTCTCACCCCCTTCTCTTTCTCCTTTCTTTCTCCCCCTTTCTTTCTCCCCTCCACCTTTTCTTCTCTCTCCCATCTTCTCTCTCCCCTCTTCTTTCTCCCTCTTCTCTCTCACCTCTCCTCTGTCCCCCTCTTTTCTCTCCCCTTTTCTTTCCCCCTATATCTCTCCCCTCCTTTTCTCTCTTCCTATGTCTCTCCCCTCCTCTTCTGTTTATTCTCACTGCCCCCTCCTCTCTCCTTCCTAACTTCTTTTTCACATTTATGCTCTTAAATGAGACACATCTGTTTTACAATGTTATATGTTAAATATTCCATGAAGATAAAATTCCAAGCTCAGAGGCACCTGACCCTTCAGATTCGCCTCCCTCAGGTACGAATACTGTTGTTATTGGCCAAAAAACGGTTTGTTTCTTTCTTTGCCTTTTTTCCTTGGGAAAAACAAAACTAACAAGGTAACAAAAACGAAGGTTTCTCAATTATACATAAACGGTTTTAAGTAGTATGACAGCGTTCCTCTCGATCTTTTGTGCCGAATTTTGAATTAAGCTTGTTTTCACAGTTCAGTAAATCTGAGTATGCTATGCATGCGGTGAGGACTTTGTAACGCATTAGATGTTTAAATTGAAAACACCTTTCTTGATGAAGATAAGAGATTGTAGAAAATGAGTTTTATGCTTCAGGCATTTTGCTTGAGCCTGGTTATCACGGTTAGTGAAAATAATAAACTGACAGAGAATGATGAAATATTTATTCATAGGTGGATGCAGCAAAGTGGGTTTTGGCACAGCGATAAAGAACCCCATAATACTCTCGTTAATAATTGCCCTGTCGATGATTTGCGTTATTCTTTCATATATGCTGTTAAAGCGTAAATGTAAGGATGCCCAAATTGGACGGAAATTCCGGAACGCATGTGGACGGATGTGCAGATGGAGAAGGACAGTCTATGTCGTTTCAGATACAGAACTTGAGAACAAGGCAGCCCCCTGATTGCACAGGTTAATGTGTCTAACCTTGGAGTGCTTGTAGACAATAGACAATAGCTAGGCATATGTGGCAGGCCTGGTCGAGTTGAGGTTTTATTGGTACTATGTGACAAAGCTAAATAGGCAAATACGTGTGAATACCAGATAATATTGTGCATTTTATGCACATTGCTGCATCTGTGATACATTTATCAGTTCTACAGATAGAAATG